TTATTGTTGTCTACATTTTTTATCATACTGTTACAAGATTCCAGGACAATAGGAATAGGGAAATTGAGACAGGAAAGTTAAGGCTAAAGAGTATGGGAAATTTGCAGCCAGTTTGTAAATAACAAGCCATTATCTTCCCCAGCCAAAGACACTTGAGAGCAAATGATTAAAAGCCTCCCTAACAAGAGAATGCAGGAATAGAGGGAGAAGGGGAAAGAGGAAAAAAGGGGCAGTTTTACTCCCTAAGCCAATGGTTCTCTGCCGGGGGCCGGTCCATCCTTGTTGCTTGACACAGTCGCTGCAGGGAAGAAACATCTGCACAGCATATGTTGCAAGGTACCTGGCGTATGGCATACTGTTCTTAATATGTTTGCTCCCTCTTTTTTAGCACTTTGTGCTCTATAACTAGAACCACCTCCCTGAGAAAGGTTGTTTCCCCAGGTGGGGATTTTTCCCTGGAGTTAGGGATTAACAGGACTAAGGAAGAAAATCAATCAGTAAAACCCCCTAGTGTTACAGAAATACCATGTACTACTTATGAAGAACTTGGACTAAGACTGTTGGCAATAAATTTGAGACTTGTTGGGCCCACATCCCCAGGGGTCTGCCCACCAGGGAAAGCACCAAAGCCTATACCCCTGGAGACCCACCAATACAGGGCAGTCCCAGAAAAGGCAAGCAGCGAGGCTGGGAGGACATAACCTTTACTGGGTAGGATAATCTCCTTCAGTCACTTCCTTGTAGCTTATCAGTAGAGCAGTGACCTTGGAATAGTCCTTATAATGGAACACAGAGATTAACCTAGACAGGATTAAACTCAACAGGTTAACAAATGCCCTAACCTTTGGAATAGAATTGATAGGATTAAACTCAACAGAACTAGATTAACAAACACCCTAACCTTTGAAATAGAATGACCATTATCTTCCCAGGCCAAGGACATTTGAGAGCAAATGGTTAAAAGCTTCCCTAAGGAAAGAATGCAGAAAGGGAGGGGAAAGGAGAAAGGAAAAAAGGACAGTTTTGCTCCCTAATCAATAAAGCCAACAGTCTCAAGGTTTGGCAACGTAAAATTGCCAGGTGCTTCTCATGAATTCTGGGAAGGCCACAGAAAGTAGAACGAGACCTTGAGAATTTAATCTATACCAGCAGAGGAATTTTGAGACCTACAGACAGGAGGATATAGAACCCCTTGGACTCCCACCCACCTTGCTCTTCAGATTAGCTGAGAGCCTGGAGGTGCTTCATAAGCCAGATGTATAGATTTGCTTCTTTAGTAATGTTTCTTGATTTAATAAACTGGCTTAATCACAATTCAGTCAAGTTCTCTCGTATAAAAGAGAAGTCATTTATATGAGAAGACAAGGATTGAGGTTGGGGAAAGCCCTATCTGACTGAGGGATTGGGGGGGAGACTGATAACACCTCTCTGGTGTCAGAGAGAGATGGCTCTAGCAATACTGAATATGCTGCCATGTGGTATTTAACCATACATAGAAGTATATATGCATGTAGGTATGTATGTATTTTATGTATTCTTTTTCTTTCCCATTCTAATTAGCTCCTAAGGGCCAGTAGACTTGCTGACATCTCCATTGCCAAGCCCCATGTTTTAAACCTAGTTCCCCTTCAAAGTGTTTGACAAGTCAAGTGTAGAGACCAATAAAGCAATAGCTGGCTTTTCTTTTGAGAACTGAGTTTTTTTCCTCTTCACTATATATATGCTAAGTTTAGCTGTAAACTTATGAGCATAGAATACAGAGAAAGCCTTTAGTTGAAAATGCAATAACTGCAAAACTTAGGCTTAAGAATTAGAGGTATGGGCGTACATTTCAATTCAAATCAAGAAAATTTAGAAGCAGTAGTACAGAGAATGACGCTGTATTCTTTACTGTGCTAACATAGAATAAATAGCTTTTGCCTTCTCAGTGATTCAATTGTGCTTTCTTTATTGATGGTGGGTATGTGCCCACAGGCCTCTCATTCTAAGCTACAGGAGTCACATGCCTGAATTGTTACTTGAAGACTTGCTTTCAAGACATTAAGGTTATTAGTTTGCTTTTACAGCATAATGTCTCTGCATCTGTATCTTTACAATATTGTCAGTGAAAAACAGTATCTCCTAGGTCCCTGACAAGTTTTCTTGAATGTAGTACCAAAAAAATGAAAAGCTAAAACATGCAAGGTACAGCAAATCCCCACGAGAGGCCTCTTTATTGAAAAAACAAAACAAAACAGAAAACCAAGAACATTTTCATACGCTGGTTAGACAACTGCCAATTATTTCACAACCGCACTAGTAACATACAGGGTACGGTAAAAGTAGGTTTACAGTTTAGCACACAAGTTTATTCTTGTATTTTTTCTTACTGGATTGATTTCTATACGAACAACTAAGCCCTACCTTCACCCCACCCTGTATTTGGATGATTGATGACTGGATTTAACTTTGCGAGAACTCTTGCTCTTGCACCTTTTCAAGAGAGCAGTGTAGCATCACAAAACACCAGCCTGTGTTCAGGTCCCTAAAGCCACCGGGATTCACTCTCTTCATTGCAGAGGTGGCAAGTGAAGCACCAATTAAAGCGGCTCAAAAATCACCAGGGGGAGGGAACTGCCGTGCAAATTCTGTTAAGTGTATGGCTACCTTCCCACTTTGATCAATTGTAGCGAGAACGTGGGGCAACTTTACCTTGCCGCTTCCCACAGCTGGACCCAGTGACTAAATAACACGCAAAGTAAACAAGTGATTTAACCTGGAGAACAATGTTTGAAATTGAGAAAAAGGAAGAACGAAATTTTAAGGTCTTAGTAAAATGCGGATAGTGCTTCAGGCAGTACTCCCATTCCCCCCTACCCCCCCGACATACACACACCCTTAACCCCAAATAGCAAAGGCAGTTATCCAAACTGCCCGAACGAGTGTTCAGCTCTTCCTAGGACTCTATGGGTGGCCCTAAAAAGGGCCTTTAGGATTGATGCACGTGGGGCCGCAGCAGAGGTCTAACCTCCGAAGCCATACAGGGTGCGGCCCTGCCGCTTCAGGGCGTACACCACGTCCATGGCGGTGACCGTCTTGCGCTTGGCGTGCTCCGTGTAGGTGACGGCGTCCCGGATCACGTTCTCCAGAAACACCTTCAGCACCCCTCGCGTCTCCTCGTAGATGAGGCCCGAGATCCGCTTGACACCCCCACGCCGAGCGAGACGGCGGATGGCGGGCTTGGTGATGCCCTGGATGTTGTCTCTCAGGACTTTGCGGTGACGCTTGGCGCCACCCTTGCCTAAGCCTTTGCCGCCCTTGCCTCTCCCAGACATCGTTACCGGGGTCTGAAAACACAAACCTTGGTCCGGGTGCGCCGAGCTCAGGCCTTAATATACAAGACCATCGGACCAGATTGAAAACCTCAAGCGCGTGGGCGGGAAGCAGCCGAGGTTGTCCCCGCCCCTCCCGTGTCTCTTTCCTACGTGCCCCACCCCCTTCTCCACGCCCCACGCCGCCCTCCAACGGACACCACCTGCCACAGTCCCGAGAGAATTCAGATTCCAAAGCCAGGCTTCCGGATTCCACAGCTGTTTTCGTCGTTTTCTAGTCGTCTGGGCTCCCCCGAGGAGTTAAATTTCGGTGAAGAGGAAAGGTTTCTCTGAGTTAAAATCCTGGTGAACTACCTGGGGGTCGAGCATTTTGCCCAAGGACATCCAGCTGGCCCGCCGCATCCGTGGGGAGCGGGCTTTAAGGAGACGGCTCAAAGGCTCTTTTCAGAGCCGCCCACCTTTAGAAAGGCACCGTATCACCTTCCCACTGAGCCATCTCGCATCGTACACCGGTGTTGTGGGCGGAGGGTGTATTAGTCTTTGTCAGTTAATGTCCTTTGGCCTGCTGACCGGGACTAGACGGAACCGCAGAGGCGAGATTGCTGGTTGACTTCAAGCCTGCAACACCATTCTTGTTACAAGCTTGAAAAGGGGTAGAATCGGCTACCAGCCGTTCACAATATATTCACAGGTGGTTTTACAAATCTGAACACAAATTGGCGGCGACTGTTGAAGGTCATAAGTAATTCCCAATGCTAGCTTTCAACTCGTTCTGGTTCCTGGAGTCGTGCCGGACGTTAGGCAAAATGCTCAATTCCCAGGTAGTTCGCCAGGATTTTAACTCATTTTAAAAAAGGAAGGTGGGGCCTGCCTGCTTCCTCATCAGAGCATGTCGGGCCCCTGTGTCTCACGGTTGTTGTTTTTCCTTAATTGCATTTTGTGGGCTCTATTTTAATTTCTTCTTTAACAATAAACAGCTGGGACCATCCCAAAGACAAGCCATGCACACAGCTGTAGTCATGTATCTGCAAAGCATCGAATTAAATGCACGCTTTTGTCGCGTCAAAAAAAAAAGAGTGGGGGGTTAAGAGACATTGTGCGGAGTCCTGAGATGTGAAAGATCCCGAGGACTGGCGGGAGTAGAGGCAAGTTTTCTTTAAAAAATTAGGAACTCTTTTCCTTGCTTTGTATTTGAAAACTACATAAATCCCATTTCTAATTCAGTATTTTCACTGCATAACACAGGTGGCGTAAACCGGAATGGGAATGTCTGGGGAATACGGGGGCGGGGGGGAGGGCAGTTCCAATGTGAGCTAAGGTATTGTTCCAAAAATCAAAACCGATTTCCACAAAGCACAGGACGAAACGATGGAAAAATAAGAGAAAGTTTAACTTGTATTTAGCTGGCGCTGCAAATCTCTTCCACACACGACTACAAGAAAAGGGAAAAGCAACAGCAAAACAGATCCCAAACTGGAAACTAGCGCTCGATACAATTTCCTGGTTAGGTGAAGTAGGACATTTTGATTGGCTCGCAAGGCTTTAGTTCTAATGACCACTGAGGGAGCGTGAGCAGCGTCTTATTCACAAGGGCTCTGCCTCTATGACGTCACTGTTGGAAATTAACCAATGAAAACGCAATACTGTTCGAGTCTCATTTGCATATCGGCCCTATAAGTAGCTCCCAACCAAGTCGCTGGTAATCGCGGTTGGTTCAATTCGTGAGAGGTTTCTCCTTCCGAAGATGCCGGACCCAGCGAAGTCTGCTCCTGCTCCCAAGAAGGGCTCCAAGAAGGCTGTGACCAAAGTGCAGAAGAAGGATGGCAAGAAGCGCAAGCGCAGCCGCAAGGAGAGCTACTCCGTGTACGTGTACAAGGTGCTGAAGCAAGTTCATCCGGACACCGGCATCTCGTCCAAGGCCATGGGCATCATGAACTCCTTCGTCAACGACATCTTCGAGCGCATCGCGGGCGAGGCGTCGCGCCTGGCGCATTACAACAAGCGCTCCACCATCACGTCCCGGGAGATCCAGACGGCTGTGCGCCTGCTGCTGCCCGGCGAGCTGGCCAAGCACGCGGTGTCTGAAGGCACCAAGGCCGTCACCAAGTACACCAGCTCCAAGTAAGAACGCACAGGAGACGCGATAGAACAACCACTTTACCCCAAAGGCTCTTTTCAGAGCCACTTCAGTTGTTGGAGAAGCAGCTGTAAGCACTTGTTGCGAGGCTGGTAAGCTTCTGGTTGCCTGGAGCGGGGAGGTCCTACGGTCACGTGTGTATTGGGGCCTAGGGCTAGGTTGGGGCCGTAGGTTACCACGAACCTTCTGAGGCTCTCCTGTAACTGGCGGGACCCTGCGTGGTAACAGGTTTACCTTTTACCGACCCTATTTCCATGGTTCTCGATGGGTGCTTAAGTACACAAGGCACGGAGTAGGTTTTTTTCCTTTTCCCCTAAGTGTGTTTTGACATAAGCTTGCTGGGTCTTACTCTCTCGAGCCTTTATGGGCAGAAAGATTTACTCCACGGGTTTTTATTCTAGCTACTAGTTGTCTTTAGCTCGTTTTATCCAATAAAACCATATTCTCTAGTTTATTGGCCTACAAAGTAAGTCTGCACTTGGCTATCTCCCACTTTCCTGTCCTGTAACTCAACCTGCCAGAAGCCGGTCCATCCTTGCTGCTTGACATAGTCGCTGCAGGAAAGAGACATCTGCACAGCGTATGTTCCAAGGGACCTGGCGTATTATATGGCATACTGTTCTTAATATGTTTGCTCCCTTTCTTGGCGCTGTGTGTTTTAACCAAGGTCACCTCTTCGAGAAAGGTTGTTTCCCCAGGTGAGGATTTTTCCCTGGAGTTAGGGAGGGAATAAGACCCCTTAACTAAGTGCCAGGCGGGTAGTTAATCACTTTACGAACAATCACGATTAAGCTACATAATCTTCACTCCCTGGAATGGAGATAAGAAACGCCCTAACCTTTGGAATAGAAGTTGACAGGATTAAAACCAGCTGGTATAAATACAGATGTAATAAGACAATAAAACACAGAACCTGGCTGGAGAACCAACTATGCTGATCAACTGAACTGCCTCCATGTCATTCATTCTTCGCCGACTCTATCCACACCTATGAGTAACCCCTGGACCTGCTGGGGCTGGACCCCAACATCAACCAGCCATTTTGTCCCCCATTCCATGGGACATTGGGCAATTAGCCAGAGATTGCTTGCCAGCACTTGAGAGGGGGATACTGTTAGCATCTAGTGAGGTGGTTCTCCACCTTGGCTGCACATTAGAGTCACCTGGGAATCTTTTTAGAATCCTCATTTGTGGGCCTCATCCTCCAGAAATTTCTTTGTTATGGGGTGAGGCCACAACATTAGTAACAAAGACACAATTTCCGGAGGATGAGGCCCAGAAATGAGGATTTTAAAAAGATTCCCAGGTGATTCTAATGTGCAGCCAAGGTGGAGAACCACTGATCTAGTGGGTGCTAGCATCTAGTTACCAGGGAGCAGCCTCATAACCAATAATCACCTGGCCCAAAATGTCGCCTCTTCTGCGTAGTGAGAGAAACCACAGACCAAACAACCTTCAGGGCATTTATTTAATCCTTATTTCCGTCAAACCTTTCCTCACTACCCAACCAATATTGCTCTTAGTGGAAGCTGAGCAGTAAACAGACTTGGACACCTCCACAGGAAAATTGTCTTTTCTGCAACAAACTTTCCTGGTTTCTAAGAACCACTTTGGTGAGATCTTTCCAGGTGACGTTCCTAAATTTCCTGGGGAGGTGGTTTTTAGTGCTCTCAGGTGTTCTGTGTTTTTGTGTGTGTGTGTGTTTAACATTATTTTATTTCAGAAAGGAAGGGAAAGGGGGAGAGAACATCAATGATGAAAGGACCATTGATTGGCTGCCTCCTGCACAAACCACGCTAGGATTGAGCCCAAATGTGCCCTTGACCGGAATTGAACCCAGGACCCTTCAGTCCGCAGGCTTTCTATCCACTGAGCCAAACCAGCTAGGATTTATTCTTAATAGCCTTTGGGGGAATGAATACAAAAGTCGAGTTTTAACATGTGAGGTGAGTATTTAAGGACCTCTCTGTTCAAAACCTGCATAACAATAATTCAAGACTAATCATGACAAAGGCTGGTGGATGTTTTACCAAATAAAATATATCTTTGAGGCAAAAGGAAAATCTGTTTCCAATTCACTTGAATCAGGCTTTTGAAATTAAGCCATTCTTGATCAATTTGGGGGAGTTTACATAACTTTCTGCTTTAAATGAATTCTATCATTAGAGGAGTTCAAACTTATATCTAGTTAAAACTTGTATAAATTGGGCCATAATATTATATTTTTCACTGATAAATCACATTCTCAGTGAGTCATCTTTCCCCGGCCAGTACCAGACCACAAGAAGCAAGGGCAAGATGACTACACTGAGAATCTAAAATCTCCAGTGAAAGAAGTCATATACAGCACATTTCATGGTAGGAAATTTTACTCAATAAGTGAGGAAATTAGCTTCTAATCGTCTTTAACCCATCTTACCGAATAAAGCCACATGCTTTATTGGTTTGTCCTCTACCCAGTGAAGCTATCAAATAATCTATCTGGTCTCCTCAGCTAGGACCCTGAAGTCCAGGGCTCTGCTCCCTTCTCCTTGAGGAATAGGGAAATGGTTTCTCAAGGTCTTCTGAAATGTTACAGTATTGTCAATTTGCTCACCTAATCAAAAGCTATCATTAATTATCCATTAGGATTAAACCCCAATTCCTTATCCTGAGTCCTGAAACTATAAAGGCCATCTGGCCAAAACTTAAACTTCTTCAATTATTCATTTTCACCAGTGTTATACTTGATAACATCCTAAATTTCTCTTCCTTTGTGCTTCTGTTATATCATTCTTCTGTTATCGTATTCTCAGTTGTTTTCTAGACTATTCAAGCCCTGCCAACCTGCTGAAATCTTTGAAACCTTACTGAAATCTCACTCTGGCCGTGACCAGGTGGCTCCGTTGGTTGGCGTGTCGCCCCGCACACCAAAAGGTTGAGGGTTTGATCCTCTGGTCGGGATGCATATTGTAGGCAACCCATCGATGTTTCTCTTGGAAAGCATATCCTTGGGTGCGGATTAAAAACATACCTCTTACTCTAATAAGCCTTCCCATCCATTCTACTTCACAAGGAAGTCTTTCTCCTTTTCTCTTAAGGTTTTGTTCCTTGCACAATGATTTCATAATCGTGCAGCTTTGTGAACTGTGCAGCCTTCTTCCTTACCTTCTTTTTCATTGTTTTTAAATTTTCTATTGTTTGTGGTGTGGGTTTTTTGAGGTGCTTTTGTTTTGTCTTTTGTACTTGGGATCTTCCACAAAGGCTATCCGAGTGCCTGTTGGGCATTGTCCCATGCACTAAAAGGTTGCCTGTTTCAGGTTTCGGGTTCCATGCCTGGTTGGGGCTCCTGCAGGAGGCAGCAGATCCATGTTTTGCTTTCACCTTGATGTTTATCTCTTCTCTCTCTCCCTCTACTTTCCTCTCTCTTAAAAGGGGGGAGGGGGAGAAGAGATAAACAAGCTTCTCAGTGAAAGTTTGTTGACTGATAGCCCAAACCAAATTGATCTGAGGGTGGTAGGTTCAAGTACGACAATATACCAGTATCCTCAGACTGCAAGGTCCCATTAAATGCTGAGCCTATAAGGATGGATTCAAACAACTTTCACCACAGATATAATGATAATTTTCAGAACACAAGAGTTAAGGAGAAAACACCCAGAGAAAATTCTTAGAAATAGGAATCAAATTTATATCAGATTTCTCATTTGGGGACACTGTATATAAGCAGATAATGAAACAATGTTTTTTTAAAATCTAGGGGAAATAATTTTGAAACTAAATTTCTATATCTAATAAAACTATCATCTAAGTGTAGGTAGCACTTAAAACCCTTATGGAAGGATTTCTGGAGTTATACTCCAGCAAGAATAAGAAAAGATTCGGCCCAGCCAGTAATTCTGCCCAGAGAGGATGAAGAGAAATAAACTAGTAAAATTTACATTATATTATAAAGTCTAGGGGAAATAATTTTGAGACTAAATTTCTATATCTAATAAAACTATCATCTAAGTGTAGGTAGCACTTAAAACCCTTATGGAAGGATTTCTGGAGTTATACTCCAGCAAGAATAAGAAAAGATTCGGCCCAGCCAGTAATTCTGCCCAGAGAGGATGAAGAGAAATAAACTAGTAAAATTTACATTATATTATATTCAGAAAGAGAATATACATATATTACTCTAGAAGTTCTTAGAAAAGCATAGGTTTTAGTATACATAAAAATATATATGTATATGTATAAAAAGCACTAGAAGAAGGATATTCAAATTCCCCAAAGCAGCAATTCAGTAAGGAGTAATCATAAATTGTTTGCACTTAACTTAGACATCTACATGCATATACTCACATGAATTGTACATACAAAGACTTTTAATCATAATGGTGATTGTTAACATAGATACACCTTTCTCAGGGATTATTAGGTCAAGTCAACTAAAATTGTTGAGGATATAGAGGATTTGAAGAATGTAATTAGCAAGATTAATCATAACCATATTTAAAATAGAAAAAAAAATACATTATTTTGAAATTCACAGGGAATACTGGTGGAAACTGACCATGTGGGAAATGAAAAATGACAACAAGTGTTGAAAAAGCTGAAACCATGCAAGACATATTTACTAATCATAATGTAATGAAATAATTGAAAATGTTCTCCTTGACCTATACTATCTGGGAGAAACATGAGTTAAAGAAGATATCAAAATAAAATTAAATACTTTTTAGAATTAAAGCACTATATATTAAAACCTATATGAAGAGATCAGAGGAAAATCATAGCTTTAAAATATAATTATGAGAAAATAGAACTATTAAAAGTAATGAATTAAGCTTTTAATTTAAAAGCTGATAAAGGAACAACAAAACCTGAGGAAAGTAGGAGAAATGAATTAAGAAAGAAGCAGAAATCAATAAAATAGATCATACTTTCCCATGCTCCTAAAATAGAATTAAGCAATTAAACCAAAATCTGGTTCTTTAAAAAGAAAATTAAAGGGTTAATCCTTCGGTTAATTGAGTACTGAAAGAGAAACATTACAGCAGCATTAGATATAGAAAATACTGAAACTGTATATTTTGATATATTTGCAAATATAAACAAAATACTTAAAATACAAATGATCAAATTTGCCTTAAGGAAAACAGACTGTCTGAATAAAATATAGCTATAGGAGAAACTGAAAAGATAGGCAAATATCTCCCCTTAATCCTGGCCGAGTGGCTCATTGGCTGGAGTGTCCTCCAATGCACCAATTGAACCAGCGATTCCTGGTCAGGGCCCATACCTGGTTGCAGGCTTGATCCCCAGTTGGGGCGCCTACGAAAGGCAACCAATCAATGTTTCTCTCTCACTTTGATGTTTCCTTCTCTCTCTCTCTTTCAGCATGTCCCCACGTGAGGATTAAATAATACTTTTTTAAAAAAGCACCAGACCTTAAGGGGAGAGACAATATTTATATTATATAAACTGGTCAAGATGATAAAAGATGTCATAGGTCACAATATGCAAACCTGTTGTAAATGCCTATTTCTTCTTTTCAAGGCTTTATTCTGCCCTTCCCGAAGAAGTGGGCCTCAAAGTCACAGCCAGACTCCAGATGATTGCTGTTTCCCTGGGGATCATGTCAGTGCTTCCTCAAAACTAAATTATCTTATCGGAGAAGACATTGGGGAAATGTATTTCTCCAGAATGTGTAAGCCAATTCTTTCTAGTGGTTCTTAGAGACTTTATACCTCCATTAACTCACGTAACATGTTTGGGAATCTCTCCCGTTAGCCTATGCTCCCTCTCCACAATTTATTTCCTATCCTCTCTAAGGGTTAAAGGGTAGTAAGTGCTTAGTGTGATATGGAGATGAAGGGGAAGGCATGAAGATGAGCTGCTTACTTACCCTTTGGGGGTTTTGACCCCATATTTAAAAACAAAGCAAGGAGTGAGGAATACAGGAAGCGCAGCAAACACTTTATTGGCTACCATTTTACTGCTAATGTGCATTAGCAAAGTCTGTACCTAAAAGACAGCCCAGATTTTCAACTTCCAGCATTTTTTTTTTTTAACATCTTGCCAAAGCTTAATATACAGTTCTCTTAGGGTCTTCTCTTAGGAATCCCACTTTGGGGATTCCTCCTGGGGCTAAGAACCCAATGGGCTCTTGTAGAAGCACCGGTGGTCATAGAATGAGTTTTAGGGCTCTCCCTAGAGGGTCTGGAACATGGGAAACAAATCCTCTTCCCACCCCTTACCCTCCCCTGACCCGCCCTCCTCATAACCAGTTGCCTGTTCTCCATAACGGTCTACTCTGGGGTGTGGTACTTAGGACTGGGCGCCCTGGGGAGGGGACCCAAGAGCCTCTCCAATGAAGCCGTGGTAGGTCCAACAGACCCTGGTAAGCCCTGGCAAGCCCTGCTAAATCTGACAGCTCAGAAAGAACTCACCTCCTTCCCCCAAACCCAAACCCACCCTCCTCCTCCCTCCTGGTTGCGCCAGTCAGTCCCCTCCAGGGTCCTGTCCTCAGTCCTGGGACCTCTTGTCGTCGGGATAAAATGGGCCTTGGGCCCCTGAGGGTGCAGGCCCGGGGTTCCCCGATGCATTTCGGAGCAGACCTTGCAGAGCCTGGAGGCTCCCTGCACGGGGGCCTGCTGCTTCCGGCAGCCGAGTCCCTTCCCGGCTCCGAGGGCGGAAAAACAGCAGGAAGGCGGTCGGTACTTAACCGCCATCTCGCTCTCTCCCTGCCGCCTCTTTGTCGGGTCACTCCCCGGGCCCGTCCGAGGGCCCGCGCCCTCCCCTTCCTGCGATCACCAGGCCGGGGTTCCGCGGAGTCCGGGCGGGCGGAGCGCTCAGCCCGCGCGCTCCCTGCCTCCCAGCAGCCCCCGCGCGCGGGGCGGCGGCCGAGGCTGCAGCCTCTACAGGCGGCCGCGGGGTGGCGCTGCCGCCGGGTCGGTGAGGAGGCAGAGCGGGCCGGCCCTACCCACTTTCTATCCCCCAGTCGCCTCCACCCTTCCCACCCACCTCCGGCCCTGGCCTAGGGAGGGGGTTTCAGCTCCGCGGCCCCGAGGCTGCAGCCGTTGCCTTTGGCTTCCCGCGATGCTTCCTTCCTCCCGCTGCGGAGCCAGCGTCTCACACCGGCGCCCCCGGCGAGAAGTGGGGCCCGCTCACCGGGGGGTGCTCTTTTCCGTACCGGGGGCCTCGGACACGCACTTTTTTGCTTTCCTCTGCCTGCCCTGCTGATGCCCCGCCAACGCCCTAGAAGCTGCGGCAGCAGCAGGTCTAGGGCCCTCTCCCTGGAATTCTCCTCCCCGTGAGGGTGCCGCGCGCTGCCTCCGTGTGACTGTCACTTCCGGCGCCACTTCGCAGTTCCTCGGGCTGGTCTTCTGCACACAGTCCCTGCGGTGTCTGCAGGCCTCTTTCCTGCGATTCTCATTTCTGTTTCTCTGGTCCACAAGACAAAAGCTTCCGTGCAATCAATGAAACCTCAGCTATCATATATGGCCATATCCTTTAATAAAAATGTCGGAGTCGTTGGGCTTCTATGGAGATGATAATTCTCGCACATTTTTTCTGAAAGTGAAGGGGAGAGGACATTCTCGTTGTCCACAGGCGAGGGAAGCAGGGGACCCAGCTGTTCTTCCATCCACTTCCCGTCCCAAGCTGCTCGAAGGTGCTGCCAGGTGGTGGGTGTTGGAGGTGAGCCTTGTCCCGTGGAGCCAGACCAGAGGCGAGGCAGGAATGTGTCCTTGTTTGGCTGATAGGCTACATTTTTTTCAACCAAATAATTTAGAATTATGTTGCTAGGTTTGTTTATACCCTTTTGTGTGTGTGTGTGTTTCTGAGCTTTAGTTAAGTCATATTCACATATTTCAGTTTTATCTCAGCTGTGCTGTGGAGTAGCAGGGAAACATCTTATATCCAAAACTAGAGCCCAAGTGAGAGAGCAGCATATCTTAATTTTAGAGAGAGGAAGGGAGAGGGCAGAGGCTTGAGAGAAACATCAGTGTGAGATCGGTTGCCTCGCGCCCGGAGATTGAACCCACAAGCTAGGTGTGGGCTCTGACAGAGAATCAAACTAGCAACCGTCCGGTGCCCAGGATGACACTCCGACCAACTGAGCCACACTGGCCATGGTCAGAGCAGTGTATCTTGAAGCTAGTTCATACTCATCCAGAAAATCAGGAAGATAAAGTAAATCTGGGGGGTAAGAATTGGGACTTGATGATGTCACTGGCCCTCCCTACTTGAAGCTTCTCCTTGCAGTGCCAAGCTTGGAGCTCTGCATTTAATTTATTAGGAAAAGCAGCCGCTACATTCTGCTTTTCCATAGCGCAGGGAATGAGGACAGACAAGCAAGAACCCTGGTTATCTCTGGACATGGAGGTTATGAGAAAGCCTCAAATGAAAAGGCAAAAACAATGCGCCCATTTCTCATGAGTTACTCCCTCATATCCCTGTAAGATGTATGGACACCTTCCCCGCTGGTGCGCTAAAGAAGAAAAGGTAACAAGTAGCCATCCTGAGCCCCACAGAGATGTGAGTTCTCATTTCCACAGTCTCTCAGAAGTCATTTGCAAGTTATGTTTCCTTTTTGGTCTACTATTCCTGCTTGTATCCCTCATATCCTCTCTCTCTCTCTCATTTTGTCTCTTTCTGGCTTAATCTCTTGTACATGTGCAAAAGACTTACCTTTTCACCCTGTCCCCAGGAATATTGCTCAAAATACTTAATAGGATAATTGGGTTAGACTTGACTTCTAGTTTTTAAAGATTGCTTTAGAGGAGGTCTCACATCAAATCATCCGATTATAAAATTTCCGAGTTTATCATCATTGAAGTCAGCTCATTTATTTGCTTTATTTAAGAGTTAGGTGCCATGGGACTCACAGTTCTAGTGTCTTTTAACTTTTGGAGGTTGTGCCCCAATGGTCACACAAAGAGGAAGAGGTAGGGATTGCCTTGATTTATGGGCACCCACTGAGCTGCTGCTGCTGCTGCTCCTGGAGCTTCTGGAATGCCCTTTCTTGCAGCTGTTCTTGTTCCCGCTGTTTCAGCTCTTCTTCTAAATGTCTATCTTCTCAACAATAAGTTACCTTCTTCCCATAACCGGAGTCCAAAGGAATTTCTAAAATCCACGTTTTGTTCCTTTGCAGGTTCTTATGTATTAGCACACACAAAACAGTGTTCACCAAAAATATTATTCCCATTAACAGATAGAACAGACCATGAAACCAGACAGAAGTTGGTGACTGGAGGAGGCCTGTAAAAGAAAATGACAAAGAAAAAATGCCATTCAGGAACCAGAGGGATCTGACTGAGTTATGTGGAAGACAAGGCTGGCTGAGACCTGCTATGCCTGTCCCCCGGGGAGACACTGATCATTTCAGGGGCAGGAAGGAGCTGGAGGTGGCTCCAGCTGGGCTACATGGCGTTCGGACAAGGGGCAGGCTCCTCATAAGACCTGAACTGCCAGGGCCCTGTCAGTGGACAGAGACAACTGCTATTTCTATATAATGCTTGAAATGAATTTGGATTGAAGATAAACATTTTCCCCCCAAGGAGTTTTTCTTCTGGAGCTCACAATCCCTTCACCTCAAAAGATATAGACATTTGGGAATTTATGTGCAATCCACAAAATCCCCAGCCGCCAACCTACCATGTGAGCTCCTTCAAGTAAGAACTGTACTCCAAAACCTGTGACAGTAGATAGGAGGAACTCTATATATTGCTGATTCGATTGTCAGGGAGAGAGAGGGAGAGAAAAAGGAGGCAGAGAGAGAAAGAAAGAGAAAATATAGGAGAGAAAAGAAAGAAGGAAATAAACAGAGAGGGGAGGGGAGGGGTTGCAATGATGTCTATAAGGAGAACAGTAAAGTTTTGACTCAAGGGTGGAAAGGCCTGTTCATAGGTTTGTCCTGTCCGGGCCATGAGTCCCCTGAAACAGACCTCAGTCCCGTAGGAGAAAAGGAAGCATCTTTTGTGCCTGTCAGTTCCCATCGTTCTCACTCACCAAGCACTTGAAGTTCCAACTCAGGGCTGTGCTTGATGAGATTTCCATCTTCTGTGGCAGCCTCACACCAGTAGGACCCGGCGTCTTCTCTGTTCGCAGTCGGTATCTGGTAGTCAGGAGACGTGGTCCTGTTCACCAAGGTCTTATTTGCCACATAGAAGGAGAAGTAGAGCTGCACCGGAGGGCTGGGTGGGAGCACCCTCGTTTCACAGCTCAGCTTGACTGGATCCCCCTCTAGGAGGGAGGATGGAGGCGATGCTCTCAGCACGGGGGCTGGAAATAGCTCTAAAGAAAACGTTGACAGTTACCTGACTCGGAGTCAAGGTTCTTTTTGCAGAAGATACACCCCCTCCTTTGGGAACCTGTCCCTGGAGAGTGCATCCATCAAACATAATTTTTCCCACTTCCAGCAGAGAGACATTTTGGGGGTTTCCTCATAGATATAGTGACCAGCTTGCTCACATCCTACTGGGGGAAACACTCTACATGACTCATGCTTCCCTGACTGTTACTTATTGTGGACACACCCACACACTAGCCAGTTCCGTATCTCAAATGATCATCTAGGACAGTGGTTAGCAAACTGCGGCCCCTTGAGTGTGGCTCTTCCACAAAATACCACGGGCGGGCGCGCACGGACAGTGCAATTGAAACTTCGTGGCCACACTGACGGGGCCAAAGAGCCGCATGTGGCTCACGCGCCGCGGTTTGCCGACCACGGAGGACAATAATTTCTTGCCCTTTTTTTTTTTTTTTCTCAGACAGTGGTTATGAGTACTGAGATGAAAGGCCATTAAAGAGTCACAACAAAGGCCACAGGTAACTGGAACAGGAAGCTGATTCGTTAGCAGAGGTTCAGAAAGAAGTGGAACCAGAGAGGCCGTTTTCCCTGAGAGAGAGATGGAAAGTATAACTGAGTCCCAATGTCTTCCTGGCCTCTGTTTCTTACGGAGCTTTTATGAGATTCCATGGGTGATTTTCTAATAACTCCCTACCTACCTTGAGTGAGTCTCTATTCCTTACAACTAAAATAAAATTGATGAAATGGTTCCTCACTATGCCCTGGCCTTGACATTAGCTCCTGGGATTATTAAAGCGGCCCCGTGGTATGCTGGAAAGAGCAATGGCCTAGGACCCAGGAAACCTCAGTTCTGGTCCCCACCCAGCCACTGGTCGTCTTGTGGCCTCTAGGTAAGGCAGTTTACCTCCCTGGAGCTCGGTTTCTTCACCTGCAAATTACAGGGATGATTGATGATGGTTTCACTGGTCCTTAAAACTATAGATCTGTGATTATTCATGTACCATACCTTTCACAGTGATCGATACTCCTGCTGATGTGAAGTGCTTGTTTCCCGTGCAGTGATAGATGCCATTGTGACTCAGGTTGGTTTTCGGAATGGTGACTTCAGGATTCTCATAAGAAAACTGAAAGGTCTTGCTATTGTGGTAGAAAAGCACATTGTACACCTTCTTATTGTTCCATCCATGACACCTCAAGGCCAGAGGTTTTCCTTCAACGACGACTCTGCTAGAGACCTGGAGTAGGAGCCAATCTGGAAAATGTGGACCCAACATTTACATATTCCGTCGCAGAGGTTTCTCCTTGAACATTCCAACCTACAGCCCTGCTGAATCGGAAGCCTATCTCCTCTTCCTCAAATATCTTTAGCTTTGCTGGGAAGAAAAGTAATCTTTACCTGCAGCCCTGTACACAGCCCCTGCTCTCTCCCCTTTTCAGATCTTAGAAGTTGGTTGGGACAGATACAGTTTATCCTACGTGGTAGGCAGTGTTCTAAAATGACCCCAACAAGTCACACCCTTATATAATCCCCTCGAGAGTGGGTGGAACCTATAACTTGTTTCCAGAACCAGAATCTGACAAAGATTATGGGTTGTCACTCCCATGACGATGTTACATTATCTAAGACTCCATCTCGGCTGTCTGGACAAAGAGACTCCTGCTGGCATGCTGTGAGCAGGCCTATGAGAGGCCTGTGGCAGGGGGGCTCCAGCTGACAGCCAGCAAAAAGGTGGGACTTTAGACATCTATCATCTATCTCCCTCCCTCAAAAAAAAAAAGGGGGGGGGCGGGGGCAGGGACTTCAGTCTTAAAACCACAAGGAACTACAGTGGGGTCTTGACTTATGAGTGTCCCGACTAACGAGTTTTTTGAGATACCAGCTGTCTCTCCGCCGATTTTTTGCATTGAGTTTTTAGAGTAATTTGAGTTAACGAGCTCCTTAACGAGCTCGGTCTCAGAATGAATTAAACTAGTAAACTCTACACATAACCAAAAATGCCTCCTTTACTTTTTCCTTCCCTGGGCAGTGGGTCTGGCTAAGTGAGAATGAGGTTCTTAAAGGACAAAAGTGGAGAAGAGACAGTAGTGCTTGTCCCTCCTCTAGAACTTATCCAAGAATGGAAGACAGGCATTCAGTGCTACGTGTAGCATGATTTCAGTCTCGGATGCTGCCATAAGTTGCTTCCAAATGTAATGAATACTCTTTTCTCCCTATTCCTGTTCTCAACCAAGAGGTGCTCAAAGACTGCACTACCCAGACACAGGCACCTTTGCTTTATACATCCACAAACAATGGGAAATTTTAACCTCCATCAGGAACTGTCCAAGATACAAAATACTAGTGATGATATAAAAGATTTGAATGAAATCAGTAGACTTAATTTCAGAGATTTACACAGAATGCTGTACCTTAGAGAAAATGCACATACTTCCCAAATACACGTGCATCAGTTATACAAGTTGAGCACATATCAGGCTACAAAGCAATTTTCAACAAATACCAGGGAACTGATATACTTAACACAAATTCTGACCAAAATACCATAAAAGTAGAAATCAATAACAAAAACACCCTCCAAACACACTTCTAAATAAATCATGGATCAAAGAAAGAAGAAAGTTATAAATGAAATTTAAAATATTTAGCCTTAAAAGTTAACAAGAGTATTACATATTAAAAATTGGGGGATGCAGCTTTTAGCAGACATTTCTATTCAAAAACCCTTCTCTCACCTGACCGGCATGGCTCAGTGGTTGAGGCTGACCTGTGAACCAGTAGGTCACGGTTAAATTCCCAGTCATGGCACAAGCCCTGGTTGTAAGTTTGACCCCCAGTGTGGAGCATGCAGGAGGCAGTCCATCGATGATTCTCTCTCATCATTGATGTTTCTATCTCCCTCTTCCTTCCTCTCTGAACTCAATAAAAATATATATATATTTAAAAAAATAAAAAACACCTTCTTCGTATGACTTGGGACAAATCACTTAATTTCTTTTTACTTTGGTTTTATTATTACCAGTGTCACAGAGATCACTAAGGATTATACTGTAAACACTAGAGGCATGGTGCACAAAATTCATGCACAGAGGGGGGGGTGTCGGGGTCTTGACTTATGAGTGTCCCGACTAACGAGTTTTTGGAGATACCAGCTGTCTCTCCGCCGATTTTTTGCATTGAGTTGACAGAGTAATTTGAGTTAACGAGCTCAGTCTCAGAACGAATTAAACTCAGAATTAAACTCATAAGTCAAGGCCCCACTGTACATTCTGCCAATGACCATGTGAGCTTGGAAGAACTGCAGGAAGGACCACAGCCCAGTCAACACCCAATGGTGCCTCAGGAGAACACCGAGCTAGGATGTACAGACACTCCTCTCCAATGGGGAGATCATTAACGTATGGTGTTTTAAGCTAAGTGTTTTGTTATGTAGCAACAGAAAACTGATACACACTAATTCCTGACTGATTCGTTAATGGGATCATACATGCTAAGACCAAACTCACAAAATGGCAAACACATCCAGATGTATTTATGCTTCTAAATTGATAGAAATATTCACATATGTGCAGGTCAGTGATATAGCTGATAAAAACAAGCTCCAAGTCAAATGGGCCCTCACTTTTTTTTTCTTTTGCGGG